GTCTTGTGTGATGGTGATTTATCAGTGTTTTTTGTCTCCAGCTATTTTATAAGCTCACAAAGCCCAAGACTTTATAATTCATTTTTTATATCCCTTCACTGTCTAGCAGAGCTCTTTGCATGTAATACACAGTAGTTGCTGAATGAATTTATCATTCATTGTTGAATGTTGGTGCCATGGTTTAGACTTAATCACAAACTATAAGGTTCATATTAATCATACCCGGATATTTAGGACCTAAGTATAGTTTTCATTAAGTATCCATAAGTAAAAAGTGAAAGAAACATGTGAACGGACAAGGTATAACTTCATTAATACTGTGAAAGATGCCTCTAGTCACACTTTCCGAAATAGGTTATACCAGTTTTGTAGTAAAAATACTAAAAGGCTAGGTGTCATAAAACATGCAGCTTAAAGGGTATGAGTTCAATAAAGAACTATGTTAATTAAAAATTCTACAATTTTGGGGGGCACCTGGGTGGCTCAGTCATTAAGCATCTGCCTTTGGCTCAGGTCATGATCCCAGGGTCCTGGGATTGAGCCCCACATAGGGCTCCCTGCTCCGCGGAGAGCCTGCTTCTCCCTCTCCCACTCCCCCTGCTTGTGTTCCCTCTCTCGCTGTCTCTCTCTCTGTCAAATAAATAAATAAAATCTTTAAAAAAAATAAAAATTCTATAATTTTTGGAATAGTTTATTCAACAATGAGATGAATAAATACAAATATTTCCAGTATATCCTCTATGTTTAATATGTTGAGAATGTATATTGACCCTCAGGTTTAAAAAACTTTGAAGGCACAAATACAATGATGACTGTCTTGAGTTTTAATAAGTGAAGATAATGAAAACACTTATTTTCCTTGTCTGAAACCCAATTTGTGATTTACCAATATACATGCTTATATTTAGCAAGTTCATAAGGATCAGGATGAAAGTACAATTATGAAATTAGACAACAAAATTTCTGTTTTGAAAAATGCCTTTCATTTTTCATGGGAGTGTGGAAAATATTAGAAATGAGTCAATGCTCTTTAGAAAATATGAGGATAATGGCTATGTCTTGAAATTTATATCTGGAGGACTGAGCATAATTCCACGCATAAAATAAATTTAATAAATGCTTGATGAATAATTGAAGGATTTGATTTTATAAGACATAAACAAAGTTAAAATGGTAGTGCTCCAAAATACTAATATTAATTATACAAATAGGAACTACTCAGGTCCAAAACTATGAACCAACCTCTATTGAATTTGTGTCTTTGATAAGGAAAACACACAGAGCAGTCCATTTTTATATGTTTTTGAGCAAAATTGTCTTTTTGTTTAGCCATTGTGATAATAGATATTTTCATAGAATACAAAAGCCTCAAGGCTCAGTGTACCCAGAGATTTTCAAAGTTCTGAGTAGATGTTATTGACTGGTTTAGAACTTAAAAACTGGATGTGATTGACTGGATTTGGAACTTAGAAACTTTGTTTTATTTTTGTTACAAAGCCAATATTTTTATATATTTTGTGTAGCCATGCTTAAGTTTAACAGGAAAAGAGAGACAAAGTGGGTGCTCTAGACTAATAAAATGTAAGCCCCAAATAGACCCAACAAATTGTGCATGATGTCATTGTAGGCAAGTAAAAGTCCTGGGAGTGACTGTCCATGAGCTATGGATGTGACTATTACTTGAGCCATATGAGAAGTGTAGTGCCCACAGAACTGAGAATGAATTTCTCTGGATCACTGCTATGAGGGGATATATATAAAATACCACAGGCATAAAATGTAAAGTGCATGAATTATATAGTATCATGGTCATCCTTAACTCCTCACCTTCTCTTATATGCCATATCTTCCCACTAGATTTCTTCAACTTCTATCCAGAGTCTGGATCACCTTCACTGCCACCACCATAGTCTAAAACACCATCATCATTCACTTAATTACTTTCAACAGCCACCCATCAAGTTTCTGTACTTCTATCCTTGTATGCCTTTATTTTCAATAAAACAGGGGGCTGATCATCTTATTTTTATTCTTAATGGAAGTAAAACACACATAAAAGAGTGTAAAGTACTCTAATAGGAATTGAAGTAAAACAAACATAGAAAGTATATAAAGTACTCCAATCTTAAGTATGTAGCTGATTGATTTTTTAATATGTATATACCTGTGTAGTCACACTCAGATCAAAACAAAGGACACTTCCAGCATGCCTCTTCCCCCCATACAACGTTCCAGACTATACCCTTCCCAAGTTCATCACTATGCTATTATTTTCAGTGTTTACTTTTGTACATCTTGAATTTCATGGAAATTGGGGATAAAAAGTATGATACTTTGTTGGCTTCTTTTGCTCATCTTTATATGAGATCTTCTCTGGAAGTCAGTTGCTTAATCTGTAAAGAGGAAGGTAGACTGACACTGGGAGCTAAAATTTGAAAACAAACTGAAGTTCATCCCCAACCCACAGTTCTGATTTTTTTTTTTTTTTTTGGTCTGGAGTCAGGCACAGAGTAGTATATTTTTAAAAATCCCAAAGAGAATTGAATATATAGGCTCTGAATCAAATGATCTCTCTCCTTCTTTCTCCCCCTACTTTCTCTCTCTCTCTAACTCTCTCTATTTCCCTCTCCTCCTCCCTCTCCCTCTTCCTTCGTCTCTCTCTCTGTCTCTCCCTGACCCCTCCACTCCTTTCCATATGGATGGATTGGCCACCACTCCTTTTTACCTCTATCCTTCCTTAAGTGTGCACTGAGCACCTATCAGATACCAGGCACCCTCTTAGGTTGCTGAAGCTACATAAGTGAACAAAATGTAGTCCCTATCTTCCTGGGGCTTGGTCTCAAAAAACCCATACCTGAATATATAAACAAATATTGTTGAATATATTTTCAGTATTTTTTTCCCTACTCTATAGGGCCCTTTTATTTTCCCTTTCTAATTTATGGTGCATGCTGAGAGAGTTTTGTCTTTAATACCCACTCCAAACACCTGTTTATTTTGTAAATGGTTTAAATGGTAGCCAAAAAAATTATCTGAGAATCTTATTGCAGGTGCTATTTATTAACCTTTTGTAGGTCTTATAGTGAATTAATATGTTTGTGTGTAATAAAAGTAACTGAAATTTAGGAAGTAACAGCCTATGAACATTTTTCAGTAAATTATATATGTTTGGACCAGGAATCTTCTTATTTTCTGTGAAAAGTATATAATTGATAGGAAATTAACAGCATCGGGACTATTAAGACAAACATTTAAAAATATTCAATTCAATTCTCTTAGCATTAGACCACAATAATTATTTGGTGTGTTTCTTTTACTTGTTTTTAATGGTCCTAAAACAAAGTTTAAAAGAACATTTTTTTAAAGATTTTATTTATTTATTTGAGAGAGTGAGTGAGAGAGCACAAAAGCAGGGGCAGAGGGAGAGGGAGAAGCAGACTCCCCTGCTGAGCAGGGTGCCCAATGCAGGGCTCAATCCCAGGATCCTGAGATCACAACCTGAGCCAAAGGCAGATGTTTAACCTACTGAGCCACCCAGGTGCCCCTAAAAGGACATTTTAGATGAATACAGTAGAACATCCTGTTTTTCCCATTTCTTTTCTTTCCTCCTTATTTCCTTCCTTATACAGTCTTATTTCCTGGTAGCAAAGTGAAATGTAAAGAAAGGAAAGGATTTAAAATATACTTCAGCACTGTAGCCTTACTGGATATTTAGATGCTGAAGGGCAAAATAAGATTTGTTTGGTCATGTATTCAGTGACTTCCAATCCTTGTTTTTGGGTTTTATTTTTTCAGTAGAATAATTTCAATAAAACTTAACTTTTTTTTAGTAACACTTACTTTGAAATAAATCAATAAAAATCATTTTTTCTCAAAGCAAATGTGTATACCTTAGCTGCAATCATTCTTAAGCAAAGAACAACTCATCGAATATTAATTTAGTTTTGCATAAAATTACATTGAAAAAGGAATATAAATAGTTGGTCCATTTTATAAGGACAGATTTTTAATCCCTTTTTTTCTTTTCATTTTCTTTAAGAGACATTTTGACCTTGTTGTGAAGCTAAGCTAGAGGGGACATTGGCAGAACTTTCTATGTCCTTATGCATAGCTTTGGATGAGAATTTAATAGGACAGAAAACAATACCTTGCCAAGTATTAACTTTAAATCTTCTATTTACTGTAGAATTTCAAGATTTATAGAATACCAAAACAACCCAGGGAGATGACTCATAAAGAACTAAAACTTTCTAGTTTCCTACATTCTTTAAAAAAAAGTCTTAGCTGTTTAACTTTGCTGTATAATACCATAATCAATATTGAGATCAACCTATGAATTAACATAAATCAATCATTTGGGTTTTTTGGTTTTTGTTTTTAACCTATCACTCTAAATGGTTACAAACTGGTAATCATATCAAAAATAACTTTAAAACCATGGCATCCCAATTTTAAATTATAAAGACAATACCTAAATTTAATTAGAGGAATGCATAACTGTTGAAGTCCAAATACATTTTTTAAAGTAAAGACTTAGCTATGGTTTAAGATGAAAATACACTTTATTTCTTTCATGCTATATCAACCCTCTGGCATAATGACCAAATATTACTGGTTGAATCCCAATTACCTGCATCCTAACATTCTACAACTTGCATAAGCAACAGCCTCCTCCTGTATGGATGCTTTCGTTGAGACTTAGTCGTGAAGCACAGAATCCAGTTTTATGTTAAGTAGGTGGGTTGCTAATCTGTGAGAATGCCATTCTTGATCAGGCCTTTATGAATTGTTTGTGAATACCAAACCGAACAAGGCAAGCTTTATATTCGTTCTGCAATTAGCCGAAATAATTCTAGTTAAACTCTGGTAAAGATCTCTAGTATGAAATGAATGTAAAGTATTCATTCTTTCTTTATCTTACTCTCTGGTTTCATTTTAGCTCATTTGTTTATTTAAAAATAACCCTCTAAGTTGCTTTTTCACTGCTTTTCATGTTACAGATTGAAAATGTTGATGTCTGCCTTAGTTTTCTAGCAGCCAGAGGAGTAAATGTTCAAGGTCTATCCGCTGAAGGTAAGAAAAGGCACAGTTGTCACCAATAACACCCAAGTTTGTGGGAAAAAAATTGTTTTTGTATTGCAGGAAATGTAAAGTGGGAGGACATAGCTTCTTAATACATGAAGTCAGGTTTCCAAAAATAGTAGAAACTTAAATGCAATGATTATTAATGTATGCTTTAATTATTTATATATGTTCCATATTTTGGCAAAACTGTTATTTTCATGACTGAGTGTGTGGGAAAAGATTAACAAAACATTTTTATGTTATCACCATGTATCGTATTTTTAGAGTCTTAAGTAGAGGGATGGATGGATACATAGATAATGCTGCATTATAGATAGATGAAATTCAGGTAAAAATAGTATAATTAATCTGCAAATATTATTTTATGAATAACACATCAAATTGGTAGTCCTGGTTGAAATATTTGGTAAGTTTAAATAAGTCATCGTGAGTTCTTAAATAATTAGCAGTTAAAATATTTAATAGCTGTCATATGTAAAAGCTTTAAAGTCATTAAAGGTTTAAAAGATCATCACTATAATTAAAATACAGAAAAGTGGAAAAAGACTGAACTGGTTCTGTCTTTTTTTTTTTTGATCTTTTTCTTTGACATTTATTTTTAGGAAAACTTTTCAAGTACTGAACAAAATCTAGTTGCTAAGGTTATGAAATAGCAAGTCCTTTGAGATCTGCAATAACCACCATTTTATTAGAATATTGATTTATATATTAAAATTCTGCTAGATACTGGTATATACTTTGACAATTTAGATTGGTTAATATTTCTACTGTAGTCATTTGCTCTGAATAGCATTTCTCCCTGCACGTACTAGAAATATTAGGTCTAAGTTTTAAAAATTTTGCCGTCATTGGAAAAAGAGGAATTATGTGGCTTCTGAAATACAGTGAACATTTAGTAGAATTTTTTGAGTTTTCCCAATTTTTCTTCTGTATTCATTTTTTTGTTTTAAATTTCCTTTGTCTTTTACACTTATATGATATGTTGTGTAATATGAAATTACACATTTGGGGACCGAAAACTTTAGGTTCAAACCTAACTGATGGTTCTGCAACTTAGAATAAAAGTTGATAAAATTCCCCAGGAAAATATTTTACTTTTTCAGTGCTTAAAAGTAAGTTAAAAATGTTACCATTTGTTCATTTTATGTCTCTGTCTTCTCTTATGACACCCTTTAGTAACAGAAACCCAATGATTTTCATTTATCTTCTAAAAATATATGAATGCTCAAAATGGTTTTCTAAATTAATAAAATATACATAGTAAGAAAACAAGAAATTTTTAAAACCTTTAAGATCATCTAGGTTTACATGAGAACATTAATACTTTCTTACTGTAGCCTCATATCAATCAGACTAACTTCTATATTATGGCAACTGTGAGAAGTTTTGGGGAGGTGGGGAAACATCTCATTCTCATTTTAAATGAATAATTCCACTGCATACTTTGTGTGATATCTATAAACCATCAGAGAGCAAGAAATCAGAATAGTTTGTTAATGTTCCTAAACTACAAAAAGGAGACATAAAACCTTGACATCACAGGAGGATGTATTTTATTGTCAACAGCGTGTTTTATTTAGAATATGATTACAGGTTTCATAGCCTTATTTCAAGCTTTACTTCCATCTCTTCTCTGAATTTTATATTATAACTACAAGCAAAAGAAAACGAGGTTCAGATTGTAGCTTACTTTGGGTGTTTATCTTTTTATTCAGTATTAGAAAAATTTAGGAGCTCCATGTACTAGAAGTAGGATTTACAGTTACATTTATTCAATTGTTGTCATGAATAAGCTGATCTTTATAATTTATTAATATGTAGTATGAGTCAAGAGAAAAAGAGGACCATTAAAAAATTAATACTTATAATGTCTACTTTTGGGAGATTACATATATAGTCATATATATAAATATATAAACATTTTAATAAATTGATTGCTAGGTGATTTAGGAGGGCTACTGTAAATCCGGTTGCCATTATAAGGTGCACCCACACCATCATTATTTAAATGTAGGACAACCAACATTTAAGTGGCTTTCTTTCTCCAGTTCATAGCCATCACTGTGTTGGTAACAGCTGTGTATTTGTGAGGGAAGCAGAATGCTGAATCAAATGATTAGTGCAGGACAGAGAGCCCATCCATTTCCAGGAAGAAGCAAACTCTGGCAAAATTGCAGTTGAGGATCAGCAAAGACCATTGCTCGAACAACTTTTGTTCTACCTTCTTTCCCATTACTCTGTCCCTGAAGCTCCAGGCTATTTGGAAATGTTATCACGCTTCAGAAATTCAGATTTGCTTGAATCTGTGACTGTGAGACTTGAGGTGCATTTCTATCTTCACAGATTTGGTCTAAGAGAATGGCAACTGGAATTGCATTTGTAAAAAAATAAATAAATAAAAAGGAAAACCGCATTCATTTCATATGTTACTGTTTTTATATTTTCCCTTTGATACAGAAATAAGAAATGGAAACTTAAAAGCCATTCTAGGGCTGTTTTTCAGTTTGTCTCGCTACAAGCAGCAACAACACCATCAACAACAGTATTACCAGTCTCTGGTGGAGCTTCAGCAGCGAGTCAGCCACGCCTCCCCTCAGGCAGAAGCCAGTCAGGCCAAAACCCAACAAGATATGCAGTCCAGGTAAGGACAGGAAGCAGGGCATGTGTGTAAAATTAACTCGTCTGGATATAAATTGTTGTTTTTTTTTTTTAACAACTTACTGTTTGTGAGATTGGAAAACATATTTATGTAGTTGCATCAGTGTTATGATGTAATTTGACCGATGTTATAGAAGTTAAGACCACTTTTTCTTTTGGTTGGATGAGCAGCCTTTATTAATTTAAGGTGAAATACTTGTGTTTGTTTCTAAAGATGATTGTGGTTTGTATCAAAGTGTGTGAAATGTCTTTCTTGTGAGTGACGTGGCACAATTGTCTCCTTCTGCAGATTATTTAGAATGTGCTATTGCGTATGTGTTCATCTGACTTGAGTCTGTTGGTGCATCGTAGACACAGCCTGGGGTGGGGTGCTGACAAATCATGGCAACGTCCTTCCCTCTGCCCTTAGTGCTGTTTTCCAATTTGGAATTATATCAATCAGGGTTCAACCAGAGAAGCAGAACCAGGACGGGATTAAGAGATTTATTGTGAAGAATTGGTTTACATGATCTTGGGGACTTGCTAGGCAAGTCTGAAATCCTAAAGCCAGCCCAGCAGGAAGGGCAGGCTGAAACTCTCTCAGCATGAGCCAAACTTTTATAATCAGGTAGAATTTCTTCTCTCAAGGAAGCCTCCATCTTGCCTTTAAGACCTTTCAAGTGGGGAATGAGACCTACCCAGATTATCTAGGATAAGCTCCCTTACTTAAAGTCAGCTGCTGTGGACTTTAACCACATCCACAAAATACTTTCTCAGCAGCACCTAGATTAGTGTTTGATTGAACAAGTGGGACCCAATAAACCTAGCTAAGTTGACACATCAGAAAATGATCACAGAATGAAATGAAGTTAACAAGTTTCATGTATGCTGCTCATTTGTTCCTCACCAATGACCAGGATATTGGGTCATTTGCTCTATTGTGTAAATAGCTGATTGTTTTTTCTTCGGAGGGAGAATGTCCAATATGCAAATACTCATCATCTTTAAGAGTATATATACATATCAAACAGATGTAAATATTTAACTTTTTCCATCTTAGAAGGCAAACCTGAAACCTGGTAACACTCAGTTTACCCTGAGTTTGTTTTTGGTATTTAGTATTGACTCACAAAGTTAGAGTAAAATTCCAGATTACATTCACATACCACCTTCCCCGCCCGCCACATATTGTTAAATATTCAACAGTTCAGAAATCCCCTTCTCTTTCATCTGTCAAGCAGCCCTTTCTTCATATTAAGCAATACTTCTTTTCTCTGTGTGACCATGTAAACTCTATTTGCTCTGGCTGATTTGACTCACTAATGAATTATTAAGTCAATAAAGAAAAACTGTAATTTTATAAAAAAAATATAGAGTATACTACATAGTTCAGGGAGTGATAAAAAATGTTTCTCATTACTCAGTAATGCAGATATGCTTTTGTTCTTAAAGCTCTTCCTGGCTTTTTGTGATGTAAGTGAAATTGTACAGAAGTCAAAGTGAAACAAAATTCTCTATAGGGGAGGTTCTTTGGATTTCTTTAAGAATGGGGGGGAGGAAATAGATTTTGTAATTATTTATTTATTATTGGGGGAGATGGTTGGTAGAAAGAGATGTAGATTTTGAAAACTGCCAGAAATAATATTTCCTAAAATTTGGTTTAAGTTATTTGAATGGACAAGAAGCAAGAGTAGTAGCTGAAAAAACATAGGAAGTTAAGTGGTGTTGTACAAAACATGTTAACTCTGGAAGTGATACAGAGTATCACTGGAATTTGTCTTTACTTTACCTCATTCTATTTCTGTATCTGCCATTTGGAATTTCTTACCCAGAATTTCTCAGTGGTTATGACCCTTCTGGGAGATTGTTTTTCTCATTCTTGCTGGATGTGCATGGCTGTTATGGAACAATATTTTATTTAAAAATATAAAGCCCTATGTAGTAGGCATGGTAATTTTATACCTTCATTGGAAGGTTTTGAAAAGTATTCTTTTCACCAGTGTCCTTTAAGACTGAGGTAGACTCTTAAGGAATTTTTCTTGTGATAAATTTAATTACTTTTAATTGCTTTGTAGACTGATAATGAATTGATAATGTGGAGTACTTCCTGTATTAAATATAGTAGTTATGACCCTGATGTAGAGGGGCTACTTGTCTTCATTTTAACAGAATTTATTATCTAGTTGGAGAATATTATATTTCAAACATTAATATTTATTTCCATTTATATAGATTTGGTGTAGGGAAATAGCCTATGAATTAGAATTTATGTGGACTTACATACAACAATCAATGTATGTTAAGTATTTTTCAAAAGCCCGTAGTGAGAATATACATAAGAAAGGATGTTTACTTTATGTCTATATAGTAAAACCAACATAATTAATGCAGAAAAAAATAACCCAGTGATACATTTATCTTCATTTGCTTGAGATGTGAGTCATAAATCATGATTTATGAAGACTTTCTGTTAATTCTAAAGCTCTTCCCAAGTAAATAGCTTAAATGACTGGTTGCTATATTATTCTGGATATTTAGCCAGAAAATATTCTTATATTTTTCTCTGTCAACTCATAAAAAATTTTAAGGACAAATGGTTTCAGTTCAATGAGAGTTTTGTTTTGTTCTTTTTATTTAAAATAAATTGGTGTAACTGTATATATTCCCACAATATTTATTTTATACATTAAGAATTTCTAACTTGGTTTTGCTATTTTGCAAATAATTCCAAATGTTTTCAGTCATTTGAAATATCTTTCATTTAAACAGACACTTAGACCTAAAGGTTAACAAGTACACAAGAGAGAAAATAAAACATGGATCAAGAGGAATAGAGTGTGGGTAACAAACTCTCCTTTTCTGGTTTCTCAGCTTTTTCTCTACTCTTGTGTATATATGTTTGTGGGTATGTAGGTGCATATACACGAGAACATACCTGCGTGTGTGTGTGTGTGTGTGTGTAAGTGTATGTGTCCTGTTCCAGTGTTAACTAGAATTCTAGTTATTCAAAGTTTGCCTCTGGAATCAAACTGCCTGCACTTGGATCTGAATTTCACCACTTCCTAATTGTGGGGCCTCAGGCAACTTGCCTGACCTCTCGGTGCTTCAGTGTTCTCATTTGTTAAAAGATAATAAAAAATGGCATCGATCTCATGAGGTTGTTTTTAGGTTCCCTGGAGTCACTACAATATAAAACACTTTGAACATACTGGGCACATGACACTCTCTGCTCAAAGCCTTGCAATGGTCTCAGATAGCCCAGGCTTGCTCCCACCTTAGGAAATGTGCTCTTGCTGGTTCCTTTGCTTGGAATGCTCTGTCTGCTAGCTGCTTGGCTAAATCTCTTACCTGCTTCAAGTCTACAGCTCACATGTTACCTTCTCACTGACGCTTACCTTGACTAACACCATTTTAGCACTATAGGCTGCCCATGTCCACTCCTCACTGTATTTTGCCATACTTTTTCTTTTTCTTAGTTTAATCAACCTTTAATTTCAATGTACTTGTTTATTATATTCATTATTTATTATTGCCATTTCCCTGTAAAAGGTAGGCACTATTATTAGTACAGCAGTATTTTTTTATATTTTATTTTATTATTATTTGTTTAATATATTTTAATCACTGGTATAGCCAAAGGGATAAGCACAGAAACTTACACACAGTTTTCAACAATTTCTTCTGAAAAAATAATGTAAGAATTAACAAATCTGTGTTAAGACTGCTTCCAATTTTAAGTAGGAAGATGCATAGTTACAATTGTAAGTAATTCATAGTGAAAATTGTGTGTACTTATAAAATTTGTAGAATAAAATAAATATGTTCTTGATTTGGGGGTGGTCATGATAGTGAACTGCAGTGAGTTTCAAAATGGTATACAGTGGAGATTCTTATTATTATTACTGGAATTATCCACTTGTAGTATCTTTATTAAAATAAAACTGGAACTCAGATTCTAAATTTCTTAAATCCTTCACAGGGAATCCTTGGTTATATCTGGAGTGATAACGATTTGATTAATCAAGTCTTCAATTCTCAAACATTTGAATATATTTAACATAAAAAATTAAATTTTCTCTGTCCATAATCTTTGGAAGGATTTCACATGAGTAAAGATTAAAGATCTTGCTGGGTTACATAATGTAAAACATCCTATTTGCATTTACTTAATATAAATAAAAACTAGTTCCTCATATTTTTTCTGGTTTTACTTTTTATTTTGAAAATGGTAGATAGGGCAGCAAGGTGGCTCAGTCAGTTAAGCATCTGACTCTTCGTTTCAGCTCAGGCCATGATCTTAGGATTGTGAGATTGAGCCTCTAGTTGGGCTCCATGCTGTGTGTGGAGCCTGCTTAAAATTCTCTTTCTCCCTCTCCCTCTGCACCCCCCCCTCTTGTGTGTGTACACGCACACTCTCTCCCTCTAAAACGAAGGAAGGAAAGGAAGGAAGGAAGGAAGGAAGGAGGAAAGGGAGGGAGGAAGGAAGAAAGAAACTTAAAAAAATAATAGATTAAAGCCCCTTTCTTCAACCAACCAGGAAAATATGAAAAATGTTTTAATATAAAGTGCTAAAAATCTTTTTTAGGAGTTGAAATCATAGTTATTTTTTCTAAGTATTAACTAGGAGATGGGGAAGTATTATTTCTTATTCTAGAAAACAAAGTAGAAATGAATGCTATATTTTACAATTCAAAATTCATTTGATCAGTAAATATGGTTTGAGCATTCAGGATATTTCTGCTAATCATACTTTTCCATGTGTTGAGTTTTGACAATGAAAGTTCTAGTTGACATCAAAGGTAACAGGAAGTTTAATTTCACCAAAATCTTACACAATGCCTGGCACATGAGACCAGCCAACAATGAGCAGAATGCATGTCATGAATGGATAATTTTCCTGAGAATATCAGGTAAATCATTATAGTGAAAGAAAATTATATAATGAAAATTCATTTTTCTTATGTACCATTCAGTTATATATGAGGTGTAAGCATGACGGTATTT